TATATATATATATATTTAATACGAATAATTTTATTGCAAGATCTCAGATATCAAATAAATAAAATGAAAAAATAAATTTCGAAAATTTAATTTAAAATATGTAAAAATATTTAACCTCTTTCTCTCTCTTTTTCTCTCTTAGGATATTATTTTTTAATAGAAATCCCATCTAAATTACAAAATTTTACTACCTAAATTGAATGTAAATGCATGCAAACGCGAATTTATTTCTGCGAAGACAATATCCCGCTTTATGCGTTTCTTTTATATCGTCAAAAATTCGCGATGGTATTCAAAACCGGCTCGCGGGTTCTATTTATAATGACTTTCCATGAGTGTTGCGGGGGAAGGAAGGATCGAAGTGTGTGGTCTCCGCATGTACCAAAAAGACGATCCGGTATAATCGTTTTCTTGGCGGTGAAACACGACACAGAACCACCGAAAACTTCATGTCGTCCGCTCCGCACGACTGGCACGGACGGATGGCATTAAATCGAGCGAGGCGAGAGGAGGATGGCGTGGCGAACTTAAATTTTCCATCGCGTCAACCGCCCCGCCAATTCTGCATTCGCCGGTATTAACGGGCACGTGACAGCAGGATTGCTCGCTATCTGCGCGCGTTAACGCGCTCGCATTATGCAAACCATCGATCGGGAAGATTGACGGACATCTCACCGTTATGCCGCCGGCGAGTGGCAGAGCATGACGATCGATGGAAAAAGATTCGCGCGCGATTTCGTATGACAAAAGCATCGTCCCGTCAGCCGCGGTCAGAATTTAATTTCGGAGTGAGAAAAAAAGTCGTCGTTATTACCGTTTCGATGATGACGTCGTCGGTCACGGGAAAATTGAATCTGTCATGCGGCAGAATTTTTATCGTGCGTTATCGTTACGAATTGAATGGTTCTTGCGGAGAAGAGAAGTTATTTTTCAATCTAATTCAACGATCTTGGATCTATACTCCTAGTATTAAAGAATCCGTCCATGTTATGCACTAATTAATTAAATTAAAATATCTTTAATTACATAGTACGCGCTGTATTGGATGATCTTATCCGTGCAATTAGATATTTAGATTAGAGAAGAATATCAGTTCGCGATGATTGGACGAATTCATTGAACGAAATTATTCTTCAGACATATACTCTTTTACATTTATTTCTTAATTACATTTTCTTGATTTTTGCTCGTTAAGTCCTAAAAAATTTCGCAATTTAAATAAGTAAGTATAGTGACGAAATTTTCGAAATATATAGTGCTCTATAAATGAGTAAATAGTGAAACGCAGTATTTAATCTCCTTTGTTAATGTAAAATATATTATATACTTATATCATCTTCGTGCCAAACATCACGCGGCAATGAACCTGCAGAATGACTGTCAATATCTTTGCAGATGTATAATAAGATGAGCCGAGTCTCTCAATAAATGTTATCGCGGTAGACCGCAGTCAAGAAAAAGTATCTCTTTAAAGAATCGTTGTGTTTCTCCATCGCGAAATTGGAAAAAGACGGTACCAACCACCGGCCACTTACCAATCGAATCTTTACTGGCACTCGCTGTCACTGTTATTTCTACGAAGATACATCTATAGAGTGCGAATCACAGAACTAAACCGGGCTCTAAGATCGCGATTTTAAATCTGTCTGATATATAATTGTTTGACATAATTTTCTCCTCGAGGAAAGAAAAATATTCTGATTAATTTTGTATCAAATTATGGATATTAAACGTTTTTAGAATGATAATTTAAATAGAATTAAAAAAAATATTTCGATATTTTTACAATGTTAGATTCATAGATCCAGAGAAAAGTTTGATTTAATTTAAAGAAATGTTTCTCTGTTTTGCAGTACGAAAGAAAAAATTTTATTGATTTGAACGTCATTTCTTTGATTTGAACATAATTTCTTTAAATCAAATAAATTTTTTTATTTGATTTAAAAAAATTATGTTTAAATCAAAGACATGACATTTAAATCAAAGAAATTTTTTCTTTAACCATGGCAAAGAAACATTTTTTTAAATCAAAGAAATCTTTCTCTGGGTGAATCAAATTATCCCTAATTTGGGTTATTTTTAATCATATCTATAAAATTTGCTATTACTCTTTGTATCTAATATGTCGTTAATTTTACTAAAACAGTGGAGTTAAACAATTTATTCAAAAAAAAAAATTACATATTAAATTTGATTTAAATTTATTATTTAAGTATATACGTTAATATGGATGTTTACTTTAAAACTAATTACAGAAATGGAGTGATTTACATTTGACAGAGATGAAAGTTGAAAATAACAAAATATTATTTATAACTCAAAGGATTAGATTACCTTTTCTCCTTTGATATCCAACAGTGTATAATAGATGTTAATTTGTAATTTCTCATATGTTTGTGTCATACAATAATATTATATGAGCATTTTTTATTACAATAAACATTTTTTCGCGCGCATTGTTTTCATATCTCGAAAAGAAAATGAATGAGAAATTATTTTACTGATTTGTCGTTTGAAACATCAAACGAATCAGAGTCTATTTTCAGAGAGCTCTTCGCCTGTGTGATGCTCGAGGCGTCTCTGTTCCAATCATTTTATAACTCGATGTTCAGATGAAGCAAAATCGAAGATGAGGTCCACTTTGGCATTATTTGACGCGTAATCGGCCGCGACTACAACCGGCTGTCTCTTTTAACCACCGTCTTGTCTATGCTTTTCTAAATTATAGTGTATCAAGTAATGGCTCTAAGTAAGAGCTATTACGAGCCTATAAAAATTCGCTAACTCAACGCTAGCACGTTATTTCTGAAGTAAATATCTTGTATCATGCAGTTTCCTCCGATTCCTCTATTTAGGAAAATGGTTCGTATCATATTTCCAGTTGTTCGAACAACAATTCGAATGTGTGCGTGGAAGGTTCGTGTGCGGAAATAATCATTGCTTATCGTTTCAAAGCTATGGTAACATTAACGATGTACATTTACAACGTCACGTAAACAATAATAACTAAATATTTTGCTTTCGCGTTGAAAATAAACTCGCGAGCTTAATAGTATGCATCGACGTAATTAGCACGTAATCACAGTTCACTCGGCAGATAAATTGAAACGCGGCTATTTTCGTTTCGAACGAAATTACGCGGCGAAAATCGTCTCGTGATTTCTCAACCCCGTTCAATTTCTTCGAGCGATATCTCGCCCGTTCTATGTTCCTACTGGCGTCTTAATTGCACCCATTCTAGAAACGCCATTGAACGGAAACACGAAGAAAAGGAACGGCGAAAACGTGCGAAAGAACTTGCAGCTGCACGATTCCTAAAAGGAGTATACGGTACAAAATACAGCACCGACTTTTTCGCGCCGATTGTACGTCAAAAATTTTTCACTCGATAATTGGAAAAAACGCGCTCCATTAGCTTTCACGATATATCGCATCGGCGAGAACTGTTTATTCTTCTATTCACAGATGATTTATCACGACTCACGGCTGTTGTACTCGGGAATTTTCGTTCCTAATTGAAATCACTTTTTGTTATAGAAAAACGAATCATTTTTCTCGTATATTTTATGTGTATATGTATCTATATGCTACAACTTTCCTATTTGTCAGAAACATTCGTTCGATAACTTGCAAAAAAATTTTCTAGTTGCATCGAAATGATCATCAGAGCATATCATAGTGAATCCTATCCTATAATACATTTCCATACATCAACGTCAATCTACGCAATGTTTGCTATAAGCCATTTATATACTATTTTATATTTCCGGTGTTTTCATTCTGGATGATTTTTCTCATGTAACCAACGCATCCCCAGGCGCGTTGTTTTAATTCGCGACGTTTTCAGTATAACGAGAATCAGGGAACGCGCGGAGAACCTAGCTTCACGTTATTTTTTCTCTTTCTCCTTTTCTTCTTTTTTTTTTAAACATACACCCTCGACGTTCGCAGTGAGCGAGAAAGAAAAATACGCCATATACGGCGGTAATTCGTATCGGAGCGAAACGTTCGTCGGCCTATTATCTCGCGAAATTTCGAAGAAAATGGCGAGGCAGTTCTCTCTCTTTTTTTTCTCAAGCAGCACAAAGGAGCGCTCACCGCTGTTGTAAGCGTTCGCAGCACCTCGCGCGCCCGAGGCCGGCCTGTATTAAATTAGATGGTGACGTGCTCGGCCGGGAGGATCTGCGGCGCGCGCGATGCTGCGGCGGCACAGCGGAGCTCATCAAGACTCGGAGGCCCATTCAGCCGGTCATTGTCTGCGGTAATGGAATGTATTAATATCGGAGAGCCCGCGGGGCCGTCGACCAACGCTCCGTGTATATACCCCGGCTTGGTGCCGCGCGCACCCGTTCGGTTCTACAACCGCGGTCTGCTGGTCTGGGATACGTCCCGTGGGATGGAATATTCGTATAAACCGCCGCTGCACTGTAAACCGCTAGCGAATACCGGGCCCCACGCATTAATATCTAAACGTGAGAGCGCGAGAGTGAGAAGCAGAGAGAGAGAGAGAGAGAGAGAGAGAGAGAGAGAGAGAGAGAGAGAGAGAGGGGTAGAGAGCGAGGTCGAGAGGGTGAGGAGATAGTTGGCGCACGTACTCTGCTAGTTGCATCTCGTATTCATGCATTGCACCAGCGGCTACCAGAGGCGTTATACGACCAACCCTTTTACCACTGGCCAGGTGTAATATTCTTTTTACTTCAAGTATGATACGTCAAAGGTCCTTTTGTGATAATTGCATTAGAGAACGGGAGGCTCCTGTGAGGCATGTCCGCTGAAGGCTCTCTGTTTTGCGCCATAGTCATTTTGCAAATGTTTGTGAGGTAGGAGGAGGGATACGAATGTGGCGAAACAGTAGGCAAAATGTAGAGGGCAATACAGGTGGAAATTAATTTGGAGAATGAAATTAATTCTACCGTCATGCTTCATCGTTTATTAACTATGAGCAAAAAATTACGTTAAACGTATACTCGTAATTAAACTCATACTGAAACATTAACTTGTTGGGATATTTAACGGAAGTTTTTAAGTTTTTTAAGTCGGCGGCTGGCTAACGTTGTCGTTGTCGTAAATAATTACAAGCGCAAACAGCACGGTCAAGGGACGCATCGAATAATGTCGTAGAAATTATTAACGCAGAACAGAACGCACGGCAGTATGTAAATCCCCGATCGGCTGTAAATTCATGTTGAATAATTTTCGTCAGCCGCAATTAAAAATAAATTCGTTTTTAAACCGAGGAATAAACTGGCGCTCAGGGAGAACGATCAATTTAATAGCTCTATAAATATTCATTCCGCACGAGAGCAAGTGCCAAACGAGAAACGATAGCTATCGGAAAGATACGCGGATTACTTAATTATACGTTGTTGTACCGTGAATTTATTCTCGCGGAGGATAGGCGTTAATTTATAATTAGATTTCATAAGCTTTCTCTCGCGCCCACCCGTTGCCGGTGCTGAATTTTTTTCTTTTTACGCGGCTTGACGATAAGAGATGTCGACTAATCTCTGTTGTCTGCCCTACGCGCATAAATGGGGTTAAAGCTACGCCTGTTAGATTAGAAATAATTACGTTCGCAACCGCGTTGTTCTCTTTGTTTGCGCATAATAACGTCTTTCGCCATAGACTTATAAACCTGATATTCCGGATTTTACGTATTAACGAACAGCTGGGCGTTCCCTTTAGTAATCACGTGTGCGTCACAATTAACACAAAAGGCGATATATTTACTTCGTCTAGACACACAGTCTTTATTTTTCTTTTAAAAACTCTCTAAAAATATGGCGTGGCGCCCGGACTCGTTACATCTTGATAATAAAAACTATGATGTAAGAATATCGTCTTTCATTCCCGTGAAGACTTAGGCAATGATCAATCAGAAATTGAGTTCAAAATATAAATAAGCCAATATAAGGTAAATATATATATATATACTGTTAGTGAATGATTCAATTATTGGACAAAATGATAAAAATTTTAAATCTTAAGCTTTTATAATATGAATCTAAATAAATTCTTATTAAAGTTATAAAACAACGAATTTATTTCGAATTGTACGTATCATTAAAAACGTAATTAAAAAAATTTTTATAATTTTGTCCAATAATTGGGTCGTTAACTGTTCATTAACTAGTAGATTTATCTTACAGCCGCTATTAAAAATTTACCACCAATAAGAAATTCACTCTAAAATTATATTCAACTGTTATTATACTCAATGAAATACAATAAGTCTGTTTTCTATGGTTAAATTAAACGGAGAGAATTTTCTTTTAAAATTTATCCTGAAAATATAATAGTTGTGATACAATACAATATTTTAAAGATTTTTTACTATATACTTCAGTAAAATTAATCAAACTTATTTTATACTTTATTGCGATTTTATTAATAATAAAAGAGAGAAATTTACATTAAAATTCTTCGAAATACAATGTTGTCCCACGACTATCGTATTTTCAGGGTAAATTCTAAGAAAAAATTTTCTCCATATAGTATACACTTTTGGAATTTAAAGTGAAAAATATACAGATATATTTTTGGTATTTGGGAAAAGCGAGGAAAGAGAGTTCTAATACAGTCTAATGCAGGAATAAAAAACAGGAATAAAAAACTTATATATCTTTACATTATGAATAAAAACAACGCGACAAAACCGATTTTCTATCATCTTTATGAATATTCCGATTGAAGCCTAGTTTACGTAGGGAAAGACTGTTGGGCGAAAGACGTGGTTGGGATCAATTTTTGCGCGTGTCCCGTGATATCGGCGGCGTTATGCCGGTCGCGGATGGATCGAGCGTAACAGAAGGCGCCGGTAGATATGAGTGATCGATGGCGATTCGGCAGACTATCCGAATGAAAAACTGTCGCTTACCGTGCCAGGTGGGGTCCGACATTTCCGGTGTCGAAGCTGGAACTGGCGTTGATATCCGTGTCCGGGATCGTCCCGGACTCCATGCCGAGCGGTGCGATGCATTGGGCTGCAACAAACGAACGTGGCGTCGCTGAGGTTAAAGCTTTGAATTTATATGCGCCTATCCTATATCCACGTCGGCGTGCATCACGGCCGGATCATAAACGGCTAAATAACCAGCTAACCGAGATGGATCTATGCGATAGCCGGTTTACGTTCTCGGAGTACGACTGCCTGTCGTGCGGGTGGAAGTTACGGTTTGAGGGCGAGTACCTGCGAACGGGGGAGGTAGAAAGGAGGGCCGTCTCAACGTTCTCGTATCTTCTGGTCCGATCTAATTGTTTCATAGATGAACACAGCTGCCTTGCGAGTACTGCTGCCGTCTGCATCGTCGGCGCTGGAAATGGGATATCTTTCGCGTACGTGAGATAGCTCGAGCGGAATATATTTATTGTACCGCTGTGTATAATGTCGATCGCGCATTGCATTCCTCGGGGACAGCGACGAAAAATGACGTCGACAGTGCAAAGCTGAGAAACAGCGTGAATTGCGACAATATTACAATTTTTACATGGAAAGAATAGTTTTGATGGAGTATCTAAAATAATTGATAATATGATATGAATTTGGGCCGATGAGAATAAACCTATTTAAATAAGAAAATTCCTATATTCAGTTAAAGTGAATCCTTTAATGCTCTACGAATTTATATACTTATTTGATTCTGCAAACTGCGCGCCGAAGTTATGAAACAAAATCATGAGCAGAACCAAAGTAGTACTATTTATTTAGCGTAAAGCGGAGTAATTTGGACTAAACATACAAAACACATACTATTCCATCAATAACGTATGTTTTGTATGTTTAATTAAATAAATTAAATAAATACACTATGCTCAATCTTTTATATAATTCAAAATTTCTATCAAACTATCTAAATTATCTCATTTTATTCTATTTAAATGACAAGCAATTTAATAATTTTTGATGCTAAAAAACATCTTTAGAATATTAATAATCAGATGTTAATGAGAATCTTAAATCTGCGAATAATTTTATTGCAAAAAATGTCTCTACCGAGATTGCGATATTTGTCGCAACAATCAATAGCTAATATGCAAACGTATTTCAAGGAGATGTGTGATAAATAAAATAATTGAGCTAGATACACATCTGAAAATAATGTTGAAAATAGTTATATAGAACACTTAAATATTGATGATAAGGCTGTAAAAAGTTTTAATATTCTAGCAACCAATTTAAACGTCCTAGTTATGGTCCAGACAAAATTATTTTTAGATCTGTATCTAGCTAAATTTTTAGATACTTTAGCAAAACCATACTTTCCATATATATTTGAGGTGGTTTAATAAATTTATAGCGTTTTTAGGCGTGGTCGTCATTCGACTTTACAGGCTCTGTCTTATCGTCGTGACTGCACGCTAATGAGGATCATAAAACGCTTTATCTTCCGGAGATTTAATATCTGAAAGGAATCCTCTCCCATGCACAGATCGGCTAGTCTCGCGTCTTCGTCCCCACGAGCACCAATGACAGGGTTAAGGGTCATCGAACAAACGATACCGTCTACTTTGCATACATTACTCCGACCTCTCCGGCGCACGCATTTTCAAGAGGCGTTACGGCGGTCGTCCGGTTGTGCAGTAAAGTTTATACAAAGTATGACGCATGTATGTATTCGTGCCATCCGCGTCACGGCGATATCATTAGGGACGACAGTAAGGACCCGCGACATTTCGCATTTCTTGTTTTTAAGGCACTATTAACCGCCCACGCCTTATCGGTCATTTATCTTGAGAACGTGAGACAGAGCCACGATTATCCGGCCACGAGCATATCGGTCGTTCACTTCGACGCAGACCGGATACTTCGTCGCGTGTACAAAGTCAAAGCTAGATAAATTCACAAACACGTGTACGGTATATTCCGGATTCTTGTATTCAACAAAGGAGCGCATATTGTATAGCGTAACTATTCCGGATACGACAACTCGAACGTCCGCTATGCTTGCAGAGCATGTCTCGTATATGCATGATGCAACACGGCATCGATTACGTTTACACGTCCAAGTAACGATACCCATTACGCGATACGGAAATTGCTAAAATTTGAAGTAGCCCGAGCAGAGGTCGTACAACGTAACAGTACACGGTAGCCGACAACGATAATGCCTAATGCCCGGATATCGAGTGCAGAGGCAACGCGAATATAGCTGGGCGTTCGAAGAGATCGTCGGTTGGGGCGTGAGGGAGGATGCAGCTTCGTACCGGGGAGTGTAACGGAAGGAATCCGCGCTAAGCCAACGAACAGAACGAGCATGTAGGTGGCCATTAATACCGGTGAAAGTTTGCAATGTTCTTCCGACGATACTACCCCGCCTCGTAATTCTGCGCCCGGCCGGCGCGGCGTCGTTGTGAAATGTGTATTTTGGTCTTACGTTTTAATCCAACGTATTTTATTGCCGAAATGGAATCTCTACAAAACGTGATCTCTGTAATTCGCCGACGCGGTTTAAGAATATAATGCTCGCAATTTGTGCGACACGCATTTCTATGATGTACAATCGGATCGATCGGTCTCTTCATGAGTTTATAACTAGAATAACTTGGGCGAGCTCTGTTATTTGCAATCCGCGGAGAGAGATGGTCGGAAATGATATTGGAGGAATATTCATCGAGGTACGACGCGTAGCTAATGTACGTCGCGATTTCGATCGTAATCGACAAATGGAAAATTGTACGCCTACAAACGCGACGCTTGTCGCGTTGGCAATCGGCAAAATGGTCGATCGGATTAATCGCCGTTATTACTAACAGGGCTCTTCTCGTCATATCGCGATTCCGGTGCTCTAATATATGTATGTTCAACTTCCTTTGCGCTGGCCGATTAGAATCAACGGCAAGAGAGTCGAGTCGACAAAGGGAGGAAACTGCGATCGACGCGAGTATTCGCGTGGACTGGTTGTTGTTATTAATGAAGGTTCTTCTGATATGTCCACCGCTAATATATGTCTTCAAATTCCGCGAAGTGCACCGACATCGTTAGTGGAAAAGTTGCGTCTCGCGGTCCAAGCGAGAACACGAAGATCGTCGCGGTGGGTCGAACCAATGCGATGGTGAACTTGGTATTATTATTAATGAAGATCAGCTCGATTCATCGCGATTCTATCGCTAATGTATGTCTACGAATTCAGTGGGGGCAGTGCGAGAGGACGATTTGAATCAATGGTAGGAAAGTCGTGCCAACAAAGGGAGGGAATGCTCGATCGAGATCTTTTGGCTGGCCAACATGGTGAGCGAATCTATTATTATTAATGAAGGTCCAGCTGATATATATCGCGTGTATCATGCACCCTCGCCGGAATTCTCACGACCGCCCGTCCTCGATAAAGTTCGACCGATAGAATCCGTTTCCTTTGTCGGCGCGTCCAGTCTAACGAATCACTGTGAGATATCACACTTGATCGTAAATCGATCATGAATAGGGGTGAATAAACACGACACCCTCGTGACTCTTTCGAGATACCAATCTCCCTTCGTTAATCTTCGAGACGTCTGACGTGCAAGACGCTTCGCATGATTTCATCTTTGGAGGATGTCCAATAAAAGTAGTTCATCTTTAACGGGTCTTTACTCAAGAAAAACATCATCGATTATTTTCCGGCTATTGGCGTTAAGATAAATTACGGGGAAAGGAAGGAAATCGCTAAGGATACAGTTTGGAAGGGTTTCGTGAGGGCGCAATTATTAAGCTTTCCATTATCACGGCTACGATGCGATTTTTCTCTCCTACGTCCGGAAATCTATTTCTATTAAGCTGCTTCTCGCAAACAGGGCTTTGGAAGAGAGCGATTCCTTATTATTAATACGATAGAATGAAATACTCCGCACGATCTTGAAAGTGGGGTCCTATGTGATTCTTATTGATTTTTTAATAAGACTTCTTTTTTTTTATTAAAGCAGATATATTCCAACTAGTTATGTAGATTTATTATTAATTAAAATTCTGATAACGCTGATTGAAGTTGTTAAACAAATATCAATTTTTGATTGCGATTTTTTTATAAAAAATATGAATATAGTTAAAATTTAAATAAGATAACAGAATCTACACTATTAGAAATTTTGTTTTAAATTAATTTTAAATAACATATTATATATAATGAATGTTTGTGGAAGAAATAGATAACTGAAAAGTAATGTATGATTTAATTTAACTGAAAATTAAGTTACAGCAGTCTTAAATGTAATGAACATTAAATGTGCATTAAATTTAATGAATATATAATGTCATAAAAATTAATATATGAGTTAATAAAATGTAAGAGATTTGTGACTGAAAATTAATAAACGTGTTAATGAAACATATTAAGAAACATATAATTGAAAAGTAATGAGCGATATAAATCTAAGTTACAGGTTTCTTAAATGTAATGAACGTGGGCATTAAATTCAATGTAATGTCATAAAATTAAATTTAACTTGTGTAACTTAAAAGTACATTAAATTTTATAATATTATTAATTATTTCAATTACGATTAATTAAGATTTAAGTATTAAATTTCAATACACTTAATTTTTTAATTATTACAAACTTAAATCTCTAATTGACATAAATAATCTTTTCAGTTATAGAGAATTTAAATTTCATTTATCAGTATACACTAAAAGTAAATGAGATTTAAGAATATTTCTAATAATACATATTAATCCTTTACTATATTTCAAAATCTTTACGATAGTTCGTTGTTCATTTACATTATCAATAGACAATATATTTCTTCTCGGCGATATAACGTTCAGATTCAGGTTTCACCCATTCACCCACTCGAAAGTACCTCCGAGGTATCGCTAAATATAAACACACACGACTCGAATGATAAGACACAATGTCTTGAGATAGGTACATAAGATATCTAATGACCAGGGTCAAAGCCGATCCTGGATCGAAAGTTCGTCGACTGCGACGGCGTAAGTTCTGGGGTCGCGCTACCACCGCGTCGTTAATAACTTATAAACGAAACAACCTGCGCGCGACTCCAAACCAAGGAACTATAGTCGAACGAAGTTTCACGACGAGACGCACGACGACGGGTACTATAAGGCCTGCGGATTAGAGCTTAGGAAACTACTTACAGAGGTCCACGCCGTGGTAAGCGGGGGCGAGCGCGAGCAAAACGACGAAAAGGTGGACAGCAGGTGGCGCCCTTCTGGCGAGGAAACCCAAGCTTTTCACCATAGCTCCCTTTTCCTGCGAGGGCTTTACCCTCGCCCTTTCCTCACCGAGACTCCCGCCGTGCCATTTCTGCCTCGTCAACCTGAAACAAAAAAAAAAGAGTGCAATCATTATGTCATGTTTGACGATAGTCGAGTTGGATAGGCGATCGACAAAGCGAATTGTTTCGTTCACTGCTCCCGAAGAACAAGTTCACCTTGGCGGAGAAACGACGCGCGTAATTATCACACAAGAGTATCATCTTGAATGCTACATTGAAATGTGAAACTGATTTCATGTATTTGATAACTGTAACTGTGTGGCCTAAGAGAAACGTTTGAAAGAGATACATTTAAAAGATATTTTTATTAAAAGAAATCTATTACGTAAAGACATCTATTCTATTAAGAGTTCTATACTATCTTATTTATATAATTGTTATATAAAATAGTTTCACATATTATATTCAAAAATCTATTGAATTTCGTGACAGTCGAGTTTATTTAGCTCAATAATTTTTTAATTTAAAAATTCTGCAGAGAATGATGCACGAATGACATTATGTCTTCATGTAGATCTAGTCTGTAATCGTTATTCAATTTTCTGTCGATTATTCGCTGCACGTGGAATCATTTCCTTCCTGTACGATCTGAGGAGCTAAACTTCCTGCGACTTCCATGTCATGTATTTTCCAGGAAGGAACAGCACGAGAATTGCGACGCGTTAGTTTTACGTAAAGATGTCTCGATCGTAGTCAGTAATTTTTAACTCACATCGATTCAACAAAGTTTACTTCGTGAGCAGAGATCGAACTCGGAAAGCAACAAGGAACGCTCGAGAATAGCGTGGTAAAAGCTTGTTATTGGCTTACGAGTCTATCAGCTCCGATAATGCGTTATTCCCATTTTGCGCAAACTCTGATACACGTCAGACATGTGCATGAGTGTAACTTGGTTGCA